AGACAAACATTGCATAAATTGGTTTGACCCAAATGAGTTGAGTCTGATACTGCATTCAACCATGTTTATCTTAAACCAGTTTCAGCCATATTGAAACTGGTTTGTGTGTGCTGAACTTATGTTCTGGTACAGGTTGAAACCAGTTTCTAATCACTTTACACATAGACTAAGGACAGACATAAACCAGTTTAATTCACCATGTAGGCTGCTATCATTAGTGGCATATCATAGCTACTGTACTACATCACTCCAGTCTGCAGTAATAACATGTATTTTGACTAGTTGCTATATTTTAAAACGGGCTGGCAAAATGTGGTCTACCAGACTATTCTATCCAGCCCATGGGGCCCCTAAACATTTTAGAAAATTAATATTTATCAGCCCCTTGCTCCCTATCAAAGATAACAGGAGCCAGGGGGAGCCAACGGGAGAACTAAACAGCTACAGCATCAAGTCCAGCCTGGCCCCTCCCTGCACTTCAGCCTCCCTTACCATGATCCCCAGCTGGAAGTCTCTGCTTAACAGGTTTAATAGATTATAGAGTCAGAAGGGACCCAGTGGATCATTGTGTCCGACCCCCTGCCCCTGACAGAAAAGAGGACCGAGATCCGACACCCCCAGCCAAGTGATTGTCAAGCCTCCTCTTGAAGGCCTCCAAGTTAGGTGAGAGCACCACCTTTCTTGGAAGCCCATTCCAGACTCTGGCCACCTTTATTGTAAAAAATTTCTTCCTAATGTCTAACCTAAATCTATGCTCCACTAGTTTGCACCCATTATTCCTAATTACTCCCTGGGGTGCTCTGGTAAACAGCACATTGCCTATAAATTTAGCAGGGGAGGGCAGCAGGGAATTGGGGACTACAAGGTCACCCCTCAGCCATCTTTTGTATAGGCTGAAGAGATCCAGATCTCTCAACCTCTCCTTGTAGGGTCTTTTGTGGAGACCACTAATCATGAGAGTGGCCCTCCTCTGAACCCTCTCCAGATCCTCCATGTCCCTCTTGAAGTGCAGCACCCAAAACTGGACACAGTACTCCAACTGTGGCCTGATTAATACCGCTAGAGAGGGAGCATCACCTCCCTCCATCTATTGGTCATGCATCTGCTAATACACTACAAGGTGCGATTGGCTTTGTTGAGGCATCCTTACACTGACAGCTCGTTCAGTTGGGGGGGTGGGGGGAAGCAAACAGGGAAATAATGTGGCACATGAGGGGAAGGGGAGGCGAGCAGACACTCGGAGCCCATGCCAGTGCACTGGGGCCAGCACTGGTGGGGCCCAGAGCAGGGCGGCAGGAGTACGGGGCCCAAGCTGCCAGGAACGCTGGAGAGCTGGGCTGGCTCCCTCCTCTCCCTGCTTGAGCAGCATTGCCTGGCTCTATAGAGCCCCTGACAGGCCAGACCCCACACTCCTGCTGCCCTGCTCTAGGCCCCACACTCCACATGCCCCTTCATTGGCACTTCCCCCCCACACCTGCC